GAATGCATTGGCAAGACTCCACAAGAACAAGATTTAACTTTTGAGCATGGCAGTGGGCATACAAGGCTAATGGGTGGTCCCTAAAAAAAAAAAAAAACCCAAACAAAAAAAACAAACAAAAAATCCAACAACAACCAAAAAACCCCCCTAAAATTCATTCAGTCGTTTAATATTATCTTATACTTTATGCCTGACTAAATTCTTGTAAAACGCTCAATGTGCAAGTCACAATAGATGGGAAGATATGGAAGTGTTGTTTTAGAAATTGTCATTTAGACCTTTATTTAACCCATATGAGTTCTGCTTATTTGTCAGGGTGCCTTATGATTCATCGGCCAAACCTGAAATTCATTTGTTTTGCCTGTATGTGAAAAAGGATTCACAACATTGTGTTATAGAATGAGTCAGTCTGTTCTCTAAGTTAGCCAGAGTAGTTGTGCCCTTAGATGAAGAAGGAATTTTTATTATAATAACTTTGCACAAACAATAAAAATCCAGAGCAGTTGTACTAAAATTGTCTTTGCTAATTTTCCAGACTAAATAGCAAAAGGCAAACCTTCCAAATACAGGGGGTTTTGTAGCCCTTTTTTTCTGTATCTATAAACCTTGTTTTGTTCCACCTTGTGAATGATGTCACCCCTTTATTTAGATGACTTAATATGCTGCTTAACTTGCACTGTAGTCCAAGAGCAGCTATGGGAATAACATTGTTCTGTAGCTACTTTCCCATTTGAAAAACCTCTTAAAGCTGTTATCCATCTGCATTTCGCTCATCGTGTGTGAAACATCTATACAGAAAACAGTAAGCTCTCTGTTTCTTACAGCTATATTCCAGTCCACAAACCAATTTATACTCCAGGAGAATTAACCCCTCCTTTTATTTCTCCTTCTCTGTTTTTTGTTTGGTTTTTTTTGGAGGGTTCTCTGTTTGGTTGGTTTTGGGGAGATTATTTTGGTGTTTTTTTTAATCATAAGCTGTAAAAAACAACTTGGTGTGATAGCTTGCAAGAATCCCCCATCTTTCCCACCTAGATGTCTTGGTAGAGAACTTTAACTTTTATTAAAATTACAGACTTAGGCTGTGATAACTTTTATTAAAATTACAGACTTAGGCTGTGATAACTCTATCTATCTACTATTTGAAGATGATTGCCGAAATTGTTAGCATTGAAGGTTAGATACCAGTTTCTTAAAAAAAAAAACAAAACAACAAACAAACTTAAAAGTTTGGGGACTTGATTCTAGTTCAAGTTGTATTCATTCTCATTTTTTATGATTCATGATAAAGCTCTTCCTTTTGTCTAAGAGACTTAAAGCAAGGGAGAATGTTTTGCCAAATATGATGCCTCAACAGCATTGCAAGTTTTCCCCACAATATAAACTGAATTTAATTTGCCTCATAACAAAGTAGATTTTTATCTCTAGCTAGAGTCAGTTCCATTTGGCATTCTTTTTTAAGATTTTCCTCCAACACTGTGTTAAACTGCATCAGAAATAGAACAGAGGAGTTTAAAGGGAAGAACTATTATTGTGCAGAGTAACAGCCTCGTGACAGTCAGAGAAAACCAGCTATATAGGACTTTTAATACTAGCTTGAACTAAAAGCCAATTGCTAGCAAAGGAGAAAGGCTGTACTGACAGAGAAAGAGGGACCCAGAAGCTGTTAGTATTGTTCTCCTATTACTACATTCCAGAATTTGGCTTTTGGTTTTCTTATATATTAGAAATATATATTATTATTCCTTACAAAAGGAAGGAGCTAAATTGGAGCTAAATTAAGTCTGATGACAAACATCTTGGCATGGGGGAAACAGTTGGTTCAGTCCCTTCTTCTCACAAGTCACTACTCCTATGCTTAGCCTGTTTGTAGGAAGCTATAGAAGCCACAGAAGAGGCAAGCCATATTGCTGCAGTGTACCCTACTGCAGGTGCTCTCAGTTGGCATATGGAATTAAACTAGCACTCCTCTCAGGCTGAAGTATTCTACACATAGCCATAGACCTGTTTCTCTAATTATCAAATAATGAGGGAGCTCTAATAATCTAGCACAAGAAAATGTAATCTAGTAGCAGGAGGGTCTAAAACCTACACATGATTTTAATTAAGAAATAGGGTGGAACTTCGATAAAACTATTTGTCCTTTCCAAGTGAGACACAAAAAATTAAGCTAAATTAAGTTAAAGCTAGTACTGAGGAATTCCTTCAATTGTTTAAATAAATTCTTCTCAGTAGAGTCCAAACATGTTAAAGGAAGTGAGGAACCACCTGAAGGAGGTATCACAGAAGGTAAATTGACTGGAGAGTAATCAGAGCATTCTTTAAAAAAATACAGCAAGGTGAAAGAACCAGATTATGCAAAATGCAAGATTAAAAATAATTGTTTTGTCTGAGCCAACAAGCAAGTTTCCTAACATTTGGAACTCCGCCAATCAAATTTCCAGTAAAAAGTCATATTTCTCCTACAGACAGCCAAAATACCTTGAGCAAAGCTGATCTGGTAATCTGATTTGACAAGCCCTATTGTCTGTAGAACACCCACTGCCACTAATAACTCCATTCATCTCAGATCATTTTATGCAATCAAAAAAATGAGTAAAATTAAGAGAAAAGACACCTGTTTAATTGTAAGCAAAAGTATGCATGACAAGAACTAATACTGACTTCTTTTTCAATTGCATGTAAATGTGCCTACAATCAAATCTCATAGTATTGATACATAAACTTTTCAGGACACAAGACTACTTAGAGAATATGAAAAAATATCATTTCTAAACCAAGTAAGTATACTAATAGGTTCTGTATTACGACCTTACAGTACATACTAGGATTTTTCATAACAATGGAGATAAATTCCAACACTGAAAAACTTCTGTAGAGATCACCCAAATACTCAGGCTGTGCTTTTATAGCATAGTATTTTCAGTGGCTATATCACTGAGTAACAGAAAACTGAATAGCTCTTGAAACTAAACAGGAATGTCGTGTACTTGAAGCCACTTACTTCATGCAACTGTCACTACCCACTACTTCAGCTGCTGCAAGAAGGCACTGGATAAAGACACTGTGGAGGTATCGAACGAGAGAGCTAACTGCACTAATAACTCTATTCTGAAGTAAGAGAGGAAAGGTGTCCTCAGACTCAGTAAGGAGGACAGAATGCTCCAAATGAACAGACATACTTCATAATCTTGAAGAACAAATGCTAGTTTCCTCACAACTATGTTCTCAATACTTGGTTCTCTCTTTTGACTTCCTTTGCTACTGATGAGATCATATATTTCTTCAATTCCTCCAAAGTCAAAGAAACTGCTAAACTGGAACAAGAGTGAAAAAAACCCAGTCAAGTAGGTATCATCCAATTCCTCACCGACTCCATTAAACAGGGTAAGGGATAAAATGAAGGTTTACAGGTGAAATAAAGCACTGCTTTGCATTCTCTGATAAGTGAAGTGACAGAAGGGGATTTTATGAGATCTTTTTCTCACAGCTCATATTTTAGACTGCAGAGTCACATAGTATACAGCTAGTTAAAGGACAACAGCAATAGCCAAGGCTGCTAGGTTTGGCTCAAGATCTGAGACGTTTGTTTCCCGGTGTGCAGGACTAAGTTGGCACCTGCTGTTAGCAGTTACTTTAGGGAATTTAAAATTTAATTAACCTTTATAGTAATCCATACAAGATTTTATATAAGTTCAAAAAGACCGCATAGAAAACCGAACATTTCTATTTTCCTTACTTTTCTATTTGTTAATCTATTGACAATCAATGTCAGTTGAAAAAAAAGGTGCCACACTTATGTGGCCAGTTGTTTGGAAACATTTTACAACATAAGCAACTTGTTTCTAGTGAACTGGGAAGAATCCCATGACGAGCATGTCTGCTCTTTTCTGAAATCATAAGGCCACACTGCTAAGAGCAAAACTCCCTAGAATTACAAGGCCATCCAGTCACTGCTGCTCTCAGGGCACGGTGAGCTGAAGTTCCCTGAAGCTCCACAACTCTGCTTAAGAGATGATATTGCATGGGTGATTCAGTGTGCCTGCAGTTATGCTCCCAGAGCATCAGAAAATGTTTTGAAGCCCCTCTTTCTACATAAGTGCCTTTTAAAAATTGTAATTTACAAGCAAAATGGGAAAAAAGTAGAAACGTAGGGTGGCATATGGCCAAACTTTTGACTTAATTTCACCACAGGTTGCTTTTTATTTACAAGGGGCTAATCCCCTCTCAAACTACACAATAGAGCAGCCATTGGCAAAGGCAGGCAGATAAAATTGGCATGCCTCTGTATTGTTCTTGCTAATCTGAACCATTAACAGAAGGGTAAGAAGGCTAGTTTTGTCATTTAAACAGGCTTAAATCCTTTCTCCAAATGAGCTTTTGTCTAAATAGAAGAATGCATCTAGGAAATGTAAGGGGTTTCTGTTAGTGTTGCATTCTCCAGTTGACTTGACTACAGGAATACCAACCTGTTTATTTGGCCCTCATACTGTAAATGCAAGAATTATTTCCAGCTGTCAAAACCAAAAGGGGTTCAACCTGATTAAATTATTTCTCAGAGGTAAAACAGGATGAGATTATAAAGCGCTAAGAAGCAACTATTTGAAATCCTGAACTGCACCTGTGCAACTAAATCTCCATTTATACAGGTGCTTTTCAAATTGGATTTGAACTTTTAAATTCCCTGATTCATCCCATGGAAAACCACAGAAGCTCAAATAACTAATGAAATTCAGAGACAGAAAGGCTTAAAATAGTTTCAAGCTGTGAAGTGAGGCCTAAAACCATGTTCTTTGATTCATTGTTGATGTGACATATCGAGCATAAACATAAGTTGTACAATCCAAATGCCAGAGGTCATAGGGTACCCAGTAGCTAAGTAATTATTTTTTTTTTTTAGCACTGGAGAGGTCATCACCTGGCCCATAAGCACAATACACAGCTGAAAACCTGGGGAAAAGAGTGTACTGGTTAGCATGATCTGGTTTTGTTTAGCTTTTTACCTGGCACATCTTGCGCAGATATTCAATGTGACCTTTGCTTGAGGCTCAGCCATATGAGCACTTCGAGTTTGATTGAATTTGCTCCCAGAAGACATCACACTTGTTACTCCTTCCATTCTTAGATCATCAAGATCCTCTGCAACAAGACAGAATAACTGGATGAACACACAACTAAATTTTCTAGCAGTAAAGGTGCTTCACCTGTAGAATCACTGAAGAATGGAACAACTTAAAAATCAGGAAGAAAATGCCCACAATTACTTGTATAATAATAAGAGAAGACATTTGAGAGAATTTTGATTTGTATATATTATCACGCTGTTACAAGAGGTTCCTTCAGTTATTCAGTATCCTTTCCACTTCAAACAGTGCTGCATATTTTTTCAATCTTTATTTCTTGGATTCATTTTTAAAAAACTTGCCAGTTGCTTTATCAAGAGATGCTGTCCAATAGCTCCATTTGACATACAGATCCACTTCAAAGAGAAAATACCTTTTTTTTGAGTGTATGCTCCTCCTCTGATTTTTTCATCATCCACTCACTTAGCGATGAAAAAATACTGCTAAAATAAAAGTGCTCTGCTAAACCCAGAAAATGTGAAAGGAATGCATATATCACATTGAAAAAGATCATAATGTGCATACTTTTACCCATCATATTGCCGTAATATATGAGCAACTCATAAAAACAACTGCATTCTCTACTACCGTAAAAACATTCCCATTTTGCAGGAAGACAGCTGAGGCTCTCAGAGGATTTTTTTTCCCAAGATGACACTGGAATAGTGTAGCTGAGATAGACTGTAAATGAATTCTCCTGGTTTATAGTCAGGACATTGTTCAGGCATAATCTGTATATTTTTTGCTAGCATAAAATAGACAAGTTATATATACCTAATGTATCCATAAAGTCCAATTTTCAGTTGTTCATAATTTGGTTAGATTATAGCTGAAATGTAAACAAGCAACACACTGACAAGTTATTGAATAAGCACCAACCATTCCATGTACTGAGTGAAGCATGTGGTTTATGTTATACAGTATGTGATCACGTAATTAAAAGGTCTTTCAAACAATGTATACACATGTTTTCATATATTTATGTTTACAAAAGAAACATTATGCTAAAGGACCTGAGTGAAACAAAAAGTGCATAAAGGCAGACTTTAAATCCCTACATCATATGGGTAGAAGTCACAGAGAACTTGAAAATCAAAAGAGGCAATGTTAAATTAGACTTTAAAATACACAAGTAGTCATTATATATAATATATATAGTGGAGTGCCAGGCTCCTCTTCATACACAAAAGAGTGAGACAACCCCCATATCATTACCTGAAACATTTCTGGTTATCCTCTATAGTTCATAGACACTACTCTTACTATTGTGCTTCAAATTCCAGGCAGTACGGTCAGATAGTCAGAATTATCCCACGTTAACACCACACTTTTTGGGAGACACCCATTTTAAGCAAGTAACATCCAAGAAAAGCATGGCTAAACTTAGATGAAATTTTTGTGACTAAAGTCCTTGAGCTAGATTTTCTTATCATAATATTTTATTTTACTACTTGAGAAAACTTGCCTCTCTCCCAAAACCTGTTAGCTTGGTGGTATACATTGACAGTTCCACTGAAGCTTCTGGCATCAATTTACACCATTTCCACACCTTTTTCTATAAATTTCATCTATGGTTAATATACAAACTAATTCAAAGGACTTGGAAGGCTATAGGCTAAAGTATTATGAAATCAATCATCTATGAGTCATTTCAGAAAAGGTATTACATATTCGGAATACATTATGTATTAAAATAAATACAGTTTAATTGTGCTTTAGAGAGGTGTGAAAAGTTCCATATTTTATAACAGATGTAAACCACTGGATGAAATACAGTTGAAATGAAATTGAAGCATATGCCTCAGGGGTTTTTTTTTTCCCTCTAAACAGATGTGGTTTTTTTAAAAATGAGGTTTTTTAACTGTTCTCTGCTTAATTAACTTTTGGCTCTCTGATGGCTAAGACTGTTTCAATAGTGTAATGACATAGTCTGCCCTCTGTCATAGCTTTTATATTTGAACATGTATATCAAAAACATGCCTTTTTGTTTTTAGTCACTACCAACATTTTTCTCTCAAGAGAAAATTAAGTGAAACCTTGTGCAAGAAACATGGATTTCAGAGGTGTCTGGCAGAATATTATGCAGTACTGATTTATTGTCACATGCTGTTAGACCAATATGCATGCTAAAATGCAGATTATAAAAAAACCAAACGACATCATATACGATGGTTATTTTTTTCCAAGGAATTTTCCTTGATCTAACTCAGCATTGGATGGAATCTGTCCATGGCAAGCTACAAAAAGCCACTGATATTCCAACTAGACAGAGAAGGATAACTCCATCTACCAAATCTGAAGAATAACTCCAGCATTTGATTGAACTTTGATTACTGCACTTTTGCCTCAGTACTGAATGATCTGAGTTTCTTCTGGATGCCTGAAATTTACAGTGAATATTGCATTTTCTTCTCACTAAAGTAACTGGTCCTTGAGAAGCTGCCTGGTTCTCAATACCCATAACTGTGGATGGGAATTTTTGAGTTGTGAGCAAGTTACATGCCATCTGGCAATTTTCCTGATTGACCACATTCATTATTGAAGGCCTCTAATTAAAAAACAAACCCAAACCCCCAACAATAAGTAATACAGTAATTTTAGTACTAAACTCTCTGGGTGTGCATACTGTTCAACAATTGATGCATGTTTTGCAGAAGACTATTTGTTCATAAAAAGGATGTTACTAAAGTAAATACAAACAATTAGTGCAATAACATATTTTTTTTTTTAAAAGGGGGTTTCCAAAGGTTCAGATGTTTCTATGTAACACTGGAAAGAATCAGTCTTAGCAAAAAAGGATTTCTTTGAGAAGTCAATTCAGCTACAGGGTCTGGAACACTGGATCTTTTATCTTTCTTTGTATTCTTTGCTAGACCAGCTAGTGATGATACAGCTGAGCAGTTCAGTGATTTTATTGAGCAGCAATGAGGTAATTCACTGAGAAAGGAGAGAAAGAAAAGCCAAGTTGATGACTGCTTATGTGGTGGAAGACAAGAATACTGTGAAACTTCTCAAATCCTTAGAAAATTGTTACCTAGATTTGTACAGTGATGGGCTGGAAGTTCATGCAAATGAAACAATCTCACTTATGCTAATAAGAGTTTGCCATAATAATGCACGACTGTACACTGTATTTCTTTGATTTAATGTTAATTCTCTGCTATTCTCTACATGAATAGGGTGTGTGAAGACCCTATCTTAGTCCTATAGCAATTTTAATTAAGTATGTTCTGTGCAGTAAAAAACCCCTACCTACAAAACAAAGAAAAAACTCTTACATTTTTCTCAAATCAGCAATTCACCAAAATAAATTCACACAGTTGCAATCTTCATGCATTGCCATAACAATACACGAAAATACTTAAAAGTAAGATAAAGATCACAAGTGTAATATAGCATAACACAGAACCAGATGTTTTCTATATTAATAATAATGCTACACTAAGCTAAATTCTTTGTGAATTTTTATAGAGAAGTTTCATCAAAAAGGAAAGGGAAAAAAGGGTGTCTATTTCAGCTAAACAAGAACACAGCCCAATAACAAGATAATGTTTTCAGACAGGGTGTTGTTTGTAATTATTTACTTCCTTTCATTATGGGGAGAAAGGGCTGGGGAGAGGGAAAGGAGCACTAATGTCATGTATTCTAGAAACTGTGCAAGATTGCCTTGAGATAAGAGGGCATGGGATCATCTTACAAACATCTCCTACAAGACTCACACTCCATTCACTCTAAGGACAGAACTCCTATTAAATGCAGTGGAAGTTAAGTTGCACATGTTTATGCAATGTTACGTGCTACATTGTCTGATATGATCCAGTCACTTCTGTCTCCTTCCTCCATTAAAAACATGCCGTAATTCCCCAGGAGTAATTCAAGAAGTCTAAGGTGCAAAGCTGGAAAAAGTCCTTGTTCATCTTTAGAGAGTTTATGACAGCTCAGAGTTTGTCTGTTCAGTCTAATGCTAAGAAAAGTACTAAATGTTTTCATGTGAGTGTAACAAATCCAGAAAATGAATTCTGATTTATGTTCTTGCAGGCTAACAGTAAATTCTGATGCACCAGTGAAATAATGCCTTTCTCTGAAGCAATGAATTTCTCAAAGCAGTGTTCTTACAACATGATAGACATTGATGTATTCCATGTACATAGCATTGACTTGTCAAGGTTTGTTGACTGAACCACAGATTCCTAATACACTGTACTACTCATTAAAAGCAACCAACCAACATCCCCCGCCCAAAAAAAAAAAAGCTAAAAAAACCCAAACTAACAAAATCCTAATAGGAATTTACGAAGAACTGTTGACACAAGCAGGAATTGAACTTCCAGACAAAAAAGAATCATTAATCTAGAACAACTGATGCTCCACTCCTGAAAACAATGGTTAATCATTGACTTCAATAAAAGCAAAACTGGAGTTATCTTCTGCAATACACTAGCTACAGGACATATCGCTTTGTTTAGCTACAGGACATATTGCTTTGTTTCTTCTTATTCATCTATGACTTCTATGTCATCGAGTAGACAATAGTGTTAGCCTGGTAAGTACATTCTAATATGTCTTTCTATTAACATCTTCAAATATCAGAATTTGGCCCAGTTCATACTCATGCCACAGGATGTTTATGCAAATAACATCCTAAGTAAATCCATCTAAAGACTTGCACTCCTTAGAGCCATTTCAGATCTCTGAACCCAATGTTCTGAAGACTGCTTACTTTATAAGCATCTCAAGTTGGCAATGAATTCCCCTAAATGTTTGTGCTTCCATTGATGGACGCACACAAAACCAATTGAAACATGATGCTTCTACATTCCTGAGTTTGCATGTCCACCTCAACCTGTATTATTTATCAGAGCCAATCTAGCAGAATCCTACTCTACACTTAAAAGCACAAAACCAGTATGAGACTACAGAAAGCAGCATTGTTTGCAGATACTGAAACATACAATGAATCATTGATTAAAGTCTTCACTTTTAATCAGCAAGAGGGAAAGGAATCTGTCTTCAGTTTCTCCATCTTCCCATTTTAAGATGGAACTGGAATTAACACAGGAGGTACCCTTTTCTGATGAAGACGTTCTAGTTTCATTAGAGAATACTTCAGTATATTAGACAACTACACTAAGCACTGACCCACAGGGCTCCTACTTACACTTCCTTTTTCCACTAAGAGATATTTGTTACCTACAGAAAACAAATTGCCTACAGGCAAGACTGATGGAGCAGTGATGGAGACTCAAGGGATGAGAGTGTTTTGGCTTCAGATCCTTGCTCCAAATCACGAAGGTGAAGTTTATAAAAAAGTCCTGGATATCCCAACTGCCCAAACCACTGACTGAATGCAACATTATAGTCTCATTTTATTTAAATAAGAAAGTCCATAACCATAAAAGTTAAAAAGAACTCACATCGTGCCCTCTTATCATTCCTTACTGGTAATCCTAGGACAAACGATCTTCTATCACCAAGTAACCACTGCTCATCCACTAGTTCAGCAAGAAGATGTGAGTATATAACCACTGTTGCTCCACA